TCAGAAACTACTGTGGCTTTGTCCTCAGGTGTGATTGAGTGAGATTGAGGGACGACTCAACAGATCTGCAGTGTCATCCTCATACTCAATGAGCTTCAAATTACCGTCCGATACTTGGCCAGCAATCGACGAAGAGGATATGGAAGGACCCAGAGACAATAAAGTCTCCAGGTCTATTCCTGTTGCCCAGGCGTGGATGTCATCCACAGCCTGCAATTGGCCTGAAGGGAATGCAGTGGTTAGGGTATCAAAGAATTCCTCTATGGTGGACAGTGTCAACTCAAAGCCTACTGGGAACGTAGTAGTCTCCAAGATAGCTCTGATTCTCAACACGACATGAGTGCTGCGCTGAGTAGAAATGACCAAGTCAAGCCATTGCATGGCCAACTCGGCGGAGTCATTCATTGGACCCAGTTCAGCCACCAGCAACAGCCTGCGAAGGTGTATGAGCGATGGCTCACTTCTTTCGCTGTGGGGTACCCCTGGAAGGTGGTATTCCGGGTGCTCGCAAAGGAACAGTCTCCATTGTTTGACTTCATGAATGCTGAATATGGGGGGGTCCATGAAGGGAGTGTATGAGCCAGCGGTTGAAGGATGCATCAACTCTTAGGGCGTGTTTTCTCCAGTCATGGGCACGTCTTCTTCCGGGACTTGATTGCTCAGGTTGGGCTCCTGAGGATGGTTCTGGATATTTTCAGAATCATCCATCTTTGTGTCTTCGTCGATGATGGTGTCGGTGGTGCCCGTCCTGGTATTCTTGCCCGACCCTTCAGCAGCTACAGCCTGAGCTTGGTTTTGCTCACACTTCTGCCTTAGCAGGGTCTCGTGCTTTTCATGCTTTGCCTCTTTGTATCATGACGGCTTGTGCCAATTGATACTGAGAGTGTGTTGCTTGAGTGCGTGGCCTTTATTGCACACGTGCAACCAAGCTCCTCAGAAGTCGCAAGCTAGGAGTTGTGGCCATTGATTGGCTTCCATGCAGAGGCGATCAACTTCGGCCGCATCATGCAGAAAGTGAAGTTGATCGAAAGATGTGATTTTCTCTGTGCTCGTGAGGTCATTGCGGAGAAAGTCGAGCCTTGGCTCATGGTCTGAGCATGGTATGGGTATGGGTTGTAGTGTGCTAGGCACGTTCGATGTTCCTTCGCTCCTCCTCCTCCGAGAATCAACGCCGACCCTGAAACCCAGATTAAGCGGCCGCGGGGGCCTGGTGGGTTGGGTTCAGAGTGGACGGACGCGGGGGTATGTTGGAACAAGGTTCCACGCGTGTGAGCTGGGGCTGGCAGCACATCAGCAGAGACTGGGGCAGCAGTAAGAGCCGGTGGCGCAAGAACAGAGCGCGCGTCAGAATCCGGGTGATCCATGTGTGGCCAGACAGGCGGAACGAACGGTGGCACAGACCGGTCGTTCCATGGCAGAATGGAGATCCCTGCAGGAATCCCGCCATGTTCGTGCAGCTTTCGCTGCTCATCGAGGTACTTGATGTGGTGGTTGGCATAATAGCCCCACCTCATCCACTTGCGACTCTTGCAATTGTTCCAATGGGAAGAATTCCGGATAGCGAAGTACTCCCCTTTGTACCTCTTGATGACATTCAGGGCGTATTTGGCGTGGTTCATGCCCTGCTCCCAAGGGGTAATCGCGAGAGGCTTCGTCAAGACGGCCGCTCGCTGCTCGTTGCGCTTCCTCCTTTTGAGATCGCGAGCCCGCCAAAGGTTCTTTTGCGCCGGAGTGGCATCCTTTGGCTCAGATTCAGTGGGCTCGGGGTCGGACTCATTGAATTTGTTGGTGCTGTATCCTGACCCTTCGATTGTGGGCCTTCCCATCTTTGTCAGATAGGGACCAAACTTTCCAGCAGGCCACTTTTCTGCCGCCGGGCCTTGTCGAGCATCATCGACCTTGGCAGACGATGATGGCTCTGGATTGCCATAGTCGAGCTCCATTGCCTGTGGCACGTAGAAATGCGCACAATCCAAAAGTGGCTCCAGTGCACCAAGCGGCGTGACTAGAGGCGCTTGGGTCGCAGGCGTTTGGGAAGAAGATGCAGGCAGTGGATGCGCCTGAGAAGTGGGCAAAGGAATCTTGTGGTGGCGGAGGACATTCTCCAGATCAACCGCTTCTCGGCTAATACACTGAAGCACGTCGTCAGATTCAGCCTTCTCTTCTCAGACCTCTCGAAGGTGGAGTCGAATGTTCTTAGCTGCTTGCGAAACCAGTTTCGGTTTCACGAGCCTTTTG